AAAGAATAAGAAGGATGATCTGATTGGTTTTTAGGGTTTTTAATTTGAAAAGGAAATGAAAGGAGAAACGAAGAAAACTGTGATTTTTGGGGAATTTGATTGAAACTGGAAAAAGAGAAAATAAATTTTTATGTGGGCCCCATTAAGAGGAGAAAGATGATAATCTGACGTGTAAAAAAATGCCACTGTAAAAAAATTCCACCTCATAATAAAACATATTCAATTATATTTTTTTCCATGTCATTAGAGTTAAGCAAAAAAAAATGATTTGCTGGCATTTTTAACGTGACACCTGTTATTTAACTGACGGAAGGACCATTTTGGTACCGAAAATGAAAGTTTGAGGATAATTTTGGAACTTTTTAAAGCTGAGGGACAATTTTGGTACCAAAGTGAAAAGTTGAGGGACCAAAATGGTACTTAAACCTTTATTATTTGTATAAATGTATTAATAACTATTTTGTTATTCATTTTTCAGGATGTTTGGAAATCCTGCAGGTTCAGTAAGGAGGAGATCTTCCTCCTCGAGATCACAAGAGCAACACAATTTTAATCACCCACAGCTGTTTACTGATAGTAGCGTAGCTCCGGATATACAGCAAACGATTGACCTATTAATGAATTATAATTTTGGACCTGATCATGAGAACGAGGGCCCTTCATCCTCGACGGGGAAAAAAGGACGGAGCAGGAATTTCAAAGGAATACGCCTTCCAGAACATAGAGAGAGCAGGAAATGGGTTAAACTCACTGATGATAAGCTCCAGTTTACTAATCCAAACATCCACCGGGCAATCACTTCACTATGGAAGTCACGTTTTGATGGCCCGTATTTCACATACGAGCATGTTCCCCAAAGCAAGATTGCTGAAATTTATAATTGTTTCAAGGTAAAATTCAGTTTTAGCAAATTTAATAAAATGAATTGATTTAGCAATTTCTAATAAAAATAAATAATTTCATTACTAAACTAGAATTTACATTTCTCAGACATCTAATGTTATTTATTTCTTATTTTGCAGACACTTTACCAATGGGATCCTGCAGATAATCGCCATGTGCGAGATGCATTCCTAAATTGTATGAAACATAGATGGAATGACAATCTCAGGGATGAGAAGTTGAAATGGGACAAGAACTCAGTCTATGTCCCATGTTGGATCCCAACTCATATATGGCCTCAACTGCTGACAAATTGGGACTCTGATAAATATAAGAGGCTTAGTGCAAGGGGAGCAAAGAATAGGAGCTCTCGGGAAGGGGTGACTCACACCACTGGGTCCATTAGCTTTGGCATCCATGAGATGCAGATGGTAATCAAGCTTAATTAATAAAAAATTTAATATATTAGATTTTATTTAATATTAAATTGTGTCAATTTACACTAACCAATATATTGCATTATCAATATTTTGAAATATAGACTGAGTCTAAAGGTGGTGTGCAATCTCCCCCCATCAAGAGAAATTCAAGGAGACGCACACTTTCAGAAAAAATGCGGGAAAAGATCAAGAGCCATCGTGGATCAATGAAAAAGCAAAGTATCGATATGTAAGTATATATAACATATAAATTAGCATAAAATGTATAGTTATAAGTGTGAAAAAAATTTATGTAATTAATTTAAATTATTTAGCGAAGTCTACTTTTTTTTATAGATTCTTTTCAAACTACTTTTGACAACATTATTACTATTACTATTATTTTTTCAGGATACTTATGTTGCGGAGTGCACAGATAGTCATGGCTCTGATACTAGTTCGTGGCCACGCATGGATAACGAGGCATGGGTTAAGGCTGTTGGAGGTTGCTCATCTAATTTCATGCTAGGGATTGGCTCCCAAGTAAATCCAGAGATGGTTGGTTTTACTTACAGAAAGAGACAACCCCGAGAAAACTTAATAGCAACACTGATGGCGTCTAACTATGAAGAGACATAGGCAAAAGATCATGAGGAGTTAGAAAGACAACGCCAACAAATTGCTTTGATGCAATAGCAACTGGCCAATATGACAGAAGCTCAGAATAATATGAGCCAAACAATCGCACAGTCTGTTGCAGAAGCTCTAGCCGCTCATGGCATCTCCCCTCAGACAAGTCATCATCCAGTTGCCCCACCATAGCCGTCACATGGTCCTGGCTCAGGTCTTCGCATGAATTCAGCTTTCACCTACTCCACTGATTCTACACAAACCTCTTCTATGGTCCCTGAATATCAGCAGCAGCGGCAGTTTCGGCCTCAAGATGATGATGCATACCATCCTACTTTGGATCCAGACTATCAAGGTCCTTAGTTTTTTTATTTTTTTACTACGCACATTATCTACATACTTTGCATGGTTGGCTTTATTTCTATTAGTACTTTAAACTGTTAGCTTTAGCTTTTATTACGATATATTTTCTTATTTTGCTTGACCTCTAGTGATCATACTTCATAAGTATGAAGTTTTGGACTGCTTTGGTAGTTAATTATTATTAACTAAATATCGTGGGTATTTAAAACAATGGTATGTGATTGCCATATATACTTTGTGGTTATAGTTGTGGTTGAAAAGGTATAATTGTTTTTAGCATACTAGATTTGTAGAATATATGTTTTTTTCATTGCAAATGCAGGTAAAAAAAATTGGTTTTGATCATATGTATGGGGAAACTTTGTCAAAATTTTTTTAGAATTTATACCAACTAAAATGATCAAATTACAAAAATCTATTGAATAAATTTCAAGTTACTGCATTTTTTATCAAAAAATTGTAGTATTGCAAATGCAGATTTAAAAAAAAATACATTTTATCATATATACGGGGGAATTTTGATAATTTTTAAAAAATTTTATGTCCACTCACATCTAAGAAATATGTTACAAAAATTCAAAAAATGGCATGAAAACGAAATATGGAAAGGAACTTAGGCAAAATGGACGAAATCTGGAGAGGAAGCTGTTGAATTTTTACCGGCCATACTAGAAACATACTCCTAGTCGGTAAATCACTTTCCAACTTGTATCTTGTCGGTAAAGTCTTAGCTTCCAACTTGTATCTTGTCGGTAAAGTTGCAAAAAATAACCAACAGGAAGCTGGTCGGTAATTTGGGCGCCAATTGCAAAAATTTTGGTTCCCACTCTCAGTCACTTAGCCATGTGATGTTTGTCGGTGAAAAGAATACCGACTAACTACACATGGGTAAGTTGCCATATATATACCCCCACAACTCTACCTGGCTTATTTCTTCTTGTCTTCCTTCTTATTCTTCTTCTTGTTCTTCTTGTTCTTCTTTTTCTTCTCCTTCGGCTTCCTCCTCTTTTTCTTCCATTCAATGCTGTTGGATTAATTGTTTATATATGTTTATAATTACATTATTGATATAATTTTAGGTTGATATTTTTTCAATCTCCTCTCTTTTAATTTTCTCTTTCATTATTTCTCCCTATTACATAGCCAATATTAATTTGTGTTATTTTATTTGTTTTCTAGGAAACATTAGGAGATAATCAATGGGGTAAGCAAATTTTCTTTGTGTAAAATTTATTTATATAAGCCATTAGAGATATTAGGGTTGAAATTAATTATACATAAATACTAACTTAATTTATGTTTTTTTATTTTCTTAGGAAATGGTGTTTTACAAATCTTCATCTATTGAGGTAATCTTTAATTAAA